TATATATATATATATACATACATACATACATACATATACATACATACATACATATACATATATATATATACATATAAATATATTTGTCCTTTATAAAAACACGCCTTGAGAGTTATAGCCGAGCGAAGGAGGATGTGAGTGGGTGATTGAGGAAATCTCTGTAGAGAAACGGGGAGTGGTCCTTTTATTCGCTTTCTTGCTCTCTATTTATAGGGGCATATTTGTATAGTTATAGAAAGGAAGGAACAATTATGAAGACCGTCTGTAATACAATTTAATTGTAATGATTTACTACCAAATATGTATTACAATTAGAATGTAAATATGGTGGAAATTGGTTGGTCGACGCGTTTGAGTTCGATACAAAGGCCGAGGTGACCAACCGAGTGGTGATCAGGTCTGTCGAAGTAAAAAGACAGTCAGTCCACTGGTTGCAATTGGGCCCCCTTCGTGAGGCGTGGTCTGCCTACTGAGTTCATCGTCATAGTGTGTTGGTTGACTACGATCGAGCTATCAGTCATTGGATGATCGGTTGGATCATGTTCTTGTAGCCAGATGCCTTGATTATCGAGCAGTTGTCATGAGTAGCTTGATTTCTTTGAGATTCGTGCTGACGGTTTTTGTTCGTACAAAATAGTTTTTCGAGTTTTCCTGCTTTTTGACAGTTGCGGTAAGAACAGGGAAACTAGTAAACAATTATTGACATAAAAATCATGAATTAATTGAAAAATTGACTTCCCCTAGGGTTCCATGCCCATTGTGCTCTATAAATAGGCATGAATTGAGTCTTGCATCATTTGCTATTAACATCTCCTCGTGTAACGAAAGAGCATTATGACTGGTAGTTCGAGTCGGAATGTCGTGGATCCTCAAAGGTTGGAGAAGGCCGACTTTCAGGTTCCTCCTGCAAAGACAGAGAATTGTGAAGAAAGAAAAACAGTTACAGACCAAGCCTGCTTCGATTAACGTGGTCGGCTTGTTTGGTGGCACCAAGGTACAGTCTCCAGAAAAGTTTGGCCAAGAAACCCTGGCGTTTGGGCCTGAGTTAAACACGACCGTTGAGGGCCAACAAGACCCGATTGATGCAGAGATTACGGTAGCTGAAAAGGAGCTAGAGGGAGTGACGGCCATCGCCCCGCTTTAGCCTCTACCTCGGAATGATGGAGGTACTTCATTGCAAGTGAGAGACGACGTTTCTAGGGCCATCTCCGAGATCGATAGATTTATGGGAATGCGAGAAATCACCTTTAATAATTTTTTGTATTTTTATGGTCTCGTAACATAAACTTAGATGCAGATGAGTCGATTGGGTCGAAGGTCATAAGGAAGGGGGGGGGGGGGACCTGGGAAGGCCTTCACGAAATTCAGAACGAAATTCAGACCCGTTGCGGTGGCGAGTCTTTAAGCCAAGTACGCTAGCTCCTGCCATTGGATGCTCTGGCGGGGCATCAATAGCCTAACTCTTTGTCCTCAGTAAACCATTGATAGGGACACTTGGCAATGTGACTATCAGCCCCCGGAGCTATGGAACAGAGGGCAAGTGAGGCTGGATTAATGGTGGAGTCAGTCGATCCTTCGGACGGAACGGGCGAAGGTCCGGTCACGGACTCTGTGTAGAAGTTGTCTGCTCGCCTAGATATAGCGATGGTGGTTATGCGAACAGAGCTAGTCGCCCTTCGTGGCAGGTTGGACGAGGCGCTGCTAGGGCTGGAGGTACTTCGCGAGTCTTCTGATTAGGGGAAGTTCCATCATGAGGTTGATTAGATAGATCAGATTAGGTTTGGTGGGAATATTGTCCTTTGAAGGTTGTGTGGCAGGGGGGGTGGGGTATGTCTCGTCTGAGGCCTTGGAGGACTCATTCATAAAATAATTTGTTCGATACCTATAATAATGTTATTTGCAATAAGTCTTTACTTAAATAAATTTGAAAAGATGTTTAGTGTGTCACTCATGATTTTGTGATTCTTCGTTTTACGCTCTCCCCTTGTAAATAGGGCAAGGGGTCGTTCTTTTTCACTTTACGTGTTCTTTTTTCTTTTTCACTTTATGTGCTCCCCTTGTAAATAGGGCAAGGGGTCGTTCCATCATTTATTGTGTTATGTGATGGCTCTAAAATATTCCCCCACCCTCTTCAGTTCAGCTTCGTCAATGATGCTGACTCTTCGTTTTTGACAGAAAATGAGAAGGAACTAGAGAGCATATACGTTCTTTATGCTAGTGTCACTCTTTGGAAGTTTCCTGGGTCAGCTCGGGCGACGAATGTCGCTGGCAAGGACCCGATCTTTTACCGATACCAGTTTAAGTACGGCCTCCGGTTACATCGATGAGCTCTAGAGTGTATTCAATACATGTATTTCAGGGCAAGTGCTGTCAAACTCTGTCGCCACAATAACGACTTTCGTTTTTCTTTTTTCGGCAGGGAGCATATTTCATGGTTGATCAACCTTTTAAAGTATTTTCTTACGTTTACGGTCGATAAAAAGGGCTTCATCATTTTTTACCTTATTTTTGGGTCATATGCAGCTTTTGTTCTCATATGGAGCTTTCGGAATGGTCCTAGTGCCTCTAAACCCTAATAGCAGCACACTTGCCTCTTTTTGGCCTGACGTAGTCACGACAGGTCTAGGGCATGATTACATTTACTTGGGGCGTGACCATGCCTTGGATGGGGCATGGCCATGCCCTGAATCCTATGTCACTGACTCCCTGTCACGTCCCCCATCTTGGGCGTGGCCACGCCACCAATCCTTTGTCACTAACACGTGGGCTTTGCTCATGGATCCTCATCCCAATCTTCCTTTTTATTGGACAGTTAAAAGCATCTGACAATCCTCTAAAGTTACAGCAACCACCAAAGTAATCTAGACAATCTTCATTTTATTTTTTAAATCTTGATGAATGACTATTTTCTTCTTTACATTTTTCATATCATTTGTGATTCGAAGCCATTTTTTAATTTTAATCTTTTTATTCTGAATTAAATTTCTTAAATATTTTATTGTATTTTTTAACTTCCAATTTTGTTCTTACAAAAGAAAAGTTCAAAGGAATAAAGTAAATATTCAACCTTTTTATTCCAAGTCTAGAAACCATATTTCCCCTCGTTGAACCTGAACGATTAATTTCGGTTTCAACTCCATCTCTGGGTAATATACTATTTACTCCCATGGTTATATTTGAATCATGACTATAATTTATACACTTTGCTCACATGATACTAAGAAGACCTGAAGTTAGAGTTAAAGCATTTACATGAAACCTGATTATGATTCATGAGCAGTGATGTGGAGCATTGTCCGACGGGTAAAATGCCAAAATATTTCCTTGATTTTTTGGACTGACTTATAAAGTGCTAAATTAGTCACCGTGGGGGCCAAAAGAATCTCAATAGGGACTATTTCAACCTGCATTAAAAGAGTTTAGAGACTAAATTAATATTCTTATAAACTTCGAGACTAAACCAACTTATGGCAGTCCATTTAAATATTCCTCACATCTGTTCATACATTATTAACCTGTTCGGTGTCTTTCGTTACCGTTGCTACAGGTATTCTTCCAGTACACAGCCCGTCACAGTCCTCTTCGATTCCAGGATCTTACAGCATTCCTCAACCCAAACTGCCATGAAAACGCTGAAAACAATGACATTGAGATGATTGGTTGATTCGTCAAGGAAAACAGTTATAATCTCGTTGGCCAACTTAATGAGCTAATTTTGTAGCTAATTATATCCCATGTTTATCAGTAGATGAAGTATTTGCAGGGCTTGCAGATTTGTTTGTGATGGTAAGCTATTTGATTTGTTGGGTTATACTGTTGTAATTGAATAATATCATTTTTTTAAAATAATAGATTTTGTACTTTGTTTCAAATGAGGGCTTGAATATTTGGAGGTTTGGTTTGAACTGTTGAGTGGCATAGCCATCAAGGGTTTGCTGATGATTATGGGACAAAAATGACATGTAAAAGAAGAGAATATATATATATAT